AGGGTGGAAACAAGGTGAGGGCTGGTCATGGACGAGTTTATAACTTAGGGTTCACAGGTCAAGAGCCTTTCAAGAATGCCTTAAATGTTTCATTCTCAATGTCTTCAAACTTTCCAATATTTTTTTTTTTTTTGAGGGATGAATTAAAACGATTTTACTGTTCTCACTATTATTATTATTATTATTATTATTATTATTATTATTATTATTAGTATTATTATTAGTTTTCTATCTAAAAAAGAAAAAGAAAGAGAGAAAGAGAGAGAAGATTTTCTTTTTGAAAGGTTTCTTTATATGACAAAGAAAAAAATTAGTCTTATATTTCTACTTAGCACGGATAAGGGAAAAAGCTTATCCTACTCCTCTCTCTCTCTCTCTCTCTCTCTCTCTTTCTCTCTTTCTTTCGTTCCCCTTTTTATACCAATTCAACGTAGAATCCCGACTTTACGATCGGAACTTTCCAACGCCATGGATCTTCTCTCACCCTTCGGGAACTCTTCGAGAACCGAAAAGATTTTCCCGAGCGATCGCACCCGAAGAAAAGGGGAAGTATTAATCTAATTCACCCTACTCCCTCAGGCGGGCCATAATTTTTACTTGTTCCTGAACATCGATGAAAAGATTTTTCGTCTTTTCTCTTTCTTTCATTCTTTTTCTTACTTTTTTTTTCTTTCTTTCTTCTACCATATACCTACCCTTATCGTCAAACTTCAAAATCCCTGGAATATCTAGAAACGTTAGGAGAGTGAGTGAAGTCCCTTTACAACTCCGTAGCTTCTACGAAAGTCGTTCGTTCGTTCCTTCGTTCGGATCGCGTTTTCGACGTCACCAACTTCGAACCAAAGTCACCCTTAATATTAGTCCTTCCATCCAATAGAAGATAGTTTCCTTTTCTCTTTCTCTCTTCTTCTTCTTCTTCTTCTTCTTCTTCTTCTTCTTCTTCTTCTTCTTCTTCTTCTTCTTCTAGTAAAGTATAAGCCAGTACCTTTGAAAAAGTATAGTTTTTAAGAAAAATAAGTAAAAAAAAATAATAAAAAAACGAATAAGAAAATAGAAATGAAAAGAAATGGGGTAGGGGTTAAGGGTCTCTTGTGCATATAGCATAGAAATAGGAAGGAAGGAAGGAAGGACCAAAGTCGTCTTAGGAATCGCGTGATTCCTATTCTACTTCACACGCGATGCCCCTTTTCCTACTACTATCGACCTTTCATCTTGGCCAAAAGGAGGAAAGGCTTTCCATCCAAAAGACCCCTAACACGACGACCTTCCACAGTAACACACACACACACACTCACATACACAAGGGATTCCTCGTCTACAGGGTTTTACTCTCACCCTTGGAATCTTTCGATCTAGGTCGTGCCTTGATATCTATCCTAAACTATCCAATTCAGGTAAACGGGCGCCCAATTGTCTCGACCGACTGAAATAAACGTTGAATATAACGGGGCTGATTCGAAAAGGTGAGCAGAAAGAAGCAAAGAACGAGAAATTGCAAACGGTGGTACTGGGGTGGAAAAGGGAGGGGCAAACAAGAATGAAACTTTTTTTTCAAATATTCCCTAGGTGTGTATGGCAAAACTGAACTCTGTTTATCTGTCCCTTTGTGAAAATACTTTCAAAATCGGATTGGTTTAGCTTGTCGATTATCGAAAAATGAAAATGGCTGACGCGTGAGTTGCTTGCGAAGAATCTACGATTCCCTTTTATTTTCGATGGTTAACTTCCGACTATGTAATTCGTTAAAGCCAACTACCTTTTGCTAGCCACTGCCCTACTAATGCTATTACATTTGGTCGAATCGAATTCGTTACAATCTAGCAAGCAGGCTAGCTAGCTTTTCTATCATTCTATATAATTTCTCTTCTCTTTTCTTTCTCTCACAAATGTCTGACAGATCCTGATCCACGAAGTGTTTCTCAGTCGATTATTCTTCGGTATCGGTGAACGATTCGTTACACCTAAGCGAGTATTCCCTTTCCCTTTACCTTCAATTTCCTTTCGAACGAGAAAGCTACTCGTTCATTGAGCCGCTCGATCACGAACCCAGAACTAGGATGGATCCTAGGTATATAGGGTTGTGCCACTTGACGTGAATACGTTCAAAGAAAATTGTATATGCTAGTAACTTTTCTCTCTCACTCTAATACCATGGATATTATCTCATTGGAAATTTGATTTCAAAGAAAATTACTTTTGCTGTGTGTCCTTAATCTCATTGAATGATTTCAAATGAATCATTAAATGCATGTTAATAATTAATAAAGAATAATGTAGAGCAATAATTCGTATTATTATTAATATCGATTAACGAAGATTTCTAAATACGATAAGATGAACTATCTTTTAACAAGTACATCGATAACGAACTTCCAACTAGCCAAGATTTTAGATAAGATCAAAGATCTTAACCAACTTCCCCGTTCCTCCTAGAAATTATTTCATCGTACCTTTAAACCGTACGATAACGATCGATGAAGATCTGGGAGATCTTAGGTAACGTCTTCAACCAACCACTATGTACTAGAAAACGAGGCAACCCCTGGCATCGTGGATTGCATCTGGCCAATGCTCCAATCAAGTACAATCGTCCTAAATTGTAAGTGGTCCATAGAAGCCACCACCCCTCTTATCGTCCCTTTCCAAAGCTCCCCACCCTTTCTTGAATTTGGCACGTTGCAAGAAGGGATCGATATATGTATCCTATCTACGGGATTTCTTTAGGTTGAAACTTATGAAATCAGACTGATTGCAAATAATTCTCTTCTAATTATTTAATTAAAATTGAATATTGATCTATAATAATTATTATAATATGTCTTTGTATCTAATTATACAACGGATCATTATACAAATACATTACTACGTCGTGAAGCTCGTTATAATTATTAATAAGCAGTATAGTAAGTGAGTATCTCCCCATTCTTACGTTAACGTGCCAACGTGAATATTGTTGAATTCAAAATCAACTGAAATTCTACTCGAACCCTTGAAAAGCCTCAAGGCTCTTTTCTTCCATTCCTTTAGAGAAAAGGGTGAATGCTATGCTATGCGTGGCTCGCACCTCGACAATCTAGACGAAGATTATTATTATCATTATTATTATTGTTATTCATGCACTGCTACTATTGCTGATCTACTCTTCCCACTTCTGTTGTTGTTAGTTTCTATGCTATACGTAAAATGGAATTGATCCCTTAGGCGAGTACCATAAATCTTTGTTTCGAAATGAAAGTAGTTTAGATTGATTGCACGTCGAATTCACGTAGGCTACGTTTAGTGTTAGAAATATAAAATGATCCGGGTAGGGAGAGGGGTGGTAGGGATAGGAATCTCTTCTAATTGGAAAATTTAAAAATATCTAAGGATCAATTTCTAAACTCGCTCAAAGGTATGATGAAAAATTTTATTCTTGATGTATACTCCAAACTTGGAGATTATCGATGCAACATTAAAACAAAGGATTCATTAGGTATGGTCATTAATCAACTATTACTGGGAAACGATTTATTCTCCGCTTTACTCTCAATCGATCGATTTTGAGCTTTTCAAGCATAAAGCCTGATACCCGAATTATTATTGGAATTGACTTTTCATGTTTCTTTTTTTTTTTTTTTTTGATAGTATTCAAATGAGACATTTATGAAATTTTTGTTATATCCTTTTTGTATTTTATATTTTATCGGATAGTATTTACTTTTAAGAGTGGTATTCTCTCTTCGATAGAAATTATTCTGATATTAAATATACGAAATTATATTTTATTATTTAATATATTCCAGAAAAGCGAGATGAAACGTGTGTGTGTGTGTGTGTGTGTAAGAAAGAGACAGAGAGAGATTTCGTTAATTGATCGAATGTGTGCTTTATGAAGACGAAACGTTGCATAGTATCATCGTGGTTGGAACGTTGCCAAGGATAATGTAAAGACGCATTTCATGCTAGCACAATACTAACTGACTCGCAATAAGATGAATTGTAGGTAAATGCATTTGACTGTTTCCACGGTTAGATGGTTCATTGAAAAGTGAATTATTTGATAAACTGATAGCGTACGACCTAGTTTTCGAATAGTTCTTTTTAAAAATTCTTTCACACGTACGAATTATGTCGTTCATAAATAATCCCTTTAAGCTTTTGGAGAATTTTTAATGCGTAACAATCGATAAAAATCGAATTTTTAGTTTCATTTTAAGCTGATGTATACGAAACCAAAAAGAAAGAAAAAAATGATGACACATTTTTATTCTCATTTGAAAGACGAAAACGAAAAGAAAATTCAATCGTAATAAATCTTTTCGCTGAGGAATCAGGGAAGAAATGTTATTGCGAAAGGCGTGTGCTTTCTTTTTTTTTTTTGCCCCTCTTTCTTCCCCCCCCCACTCTCCACCCTTTTTTCTCTTTCTCTCTCCAAAAGCTTCAAATACGATTTATTTGATTCTGTGCCAATCGGTACTCCGTTGCGGATACTAATCGACTTAACGTCCATTTCACTTTACCTCGAATGCGTAACTCTCATTCCCAAGGGTTCTTTTTTATTTTTTTTTTTTTTTTACATCTCTCCCTCCTTCTTTATTGGAATGCAGAGAGAGAGAGAGAGAGAGAGAGCTTTTCAAACAATTCGATTTATTAACTTTATGTAACTTTGCTATATATAATTCGTAACAAGGGAATATAAAGGATTACAGTAACGTTAGTAAAGATTATTGATTACGTAAATGGAAAATTTTATATTAATTTAATAACACATTTATACGTTCATTATTATTTCGTTCAATTAATTATCAATCTATTTTCGATGAATATAAAATTTTCAAATTTTGACCTGAATACGAACGAGAGATCATTTCCGCTGATGATATTACGATATTAATTATATTAATATGTTCGTGTTTAATTAAATGAAATATCAAGTTAAACGAATTTTATCATTCACTAAACATAATTAATATTAGAAAGAATTATTGTATACTATTATATGTATTTTTCAAATTTTTCAGAATGACACGATGCAAGTTGTCTGGCAGTACCACGCTAAGGAACCAGCATCAGTAGCCGGTGTTTTACCTGGTCATGGTGCTGTAAAAGGATCAAGGCCGTTGTATTTAGTTCAGAGAGATACACAGCCAAAACGTTCGTCCTATAATCAGGAGAGTGAAGCTGTACTGAAAACCTGGGACATATTGAATCGCGAGGTAAACTTTCTTATTTAATTTAAAAAAAAAAAAAACTTATAAATGAGATGTCAAACTAATCAAATTATCGATTGATGTAATATTTACATTAACTAAATTTAAAAAAAAAAAAAAAAATTAAATACTCTCCGAGAAACGTATTAAAAACATATGCATGGATACGTAATGAAGATGATAGAATTTTACGAAATAATGAGAAAGAAGAAAATAAAAAGGTAAAGGAAGGAAAGAAGAAAAAATTTCAAGGGAGAGAGAGAGAGAGATAGAGGGAAAGTAAGTAAACGTTCTCATACAAATTCATCGGCTAAATTTCGCGAAAAGGGCGAAGGAAAGACGATTAAGGAGTTTTAATTGGAGTTTGGCGAAGTGGATCGCGTTAAAATGGCGTATCAGCCCAGGGAGATATTATACTGTATAAGGTCGATTTTCGTTACATAGCCTCGGACACTACCACCACTCTTCGACCTCCTCCTCCCCCTTCTATTCCTACTACTTCAATATAGCTCACACTCATAAAAGCAGTTTAAAAGCGGATTTAGTTGAAAACTCGAGTTTTCTCCTCCTCACCCACCGCCCCTCACCCCACACGCTTATTTTTCTTCTTCATTTAATTTTAACCATTCTCATTCATTCGAAATATCCACGTCGATGCGATACAACTTTAATATGATTGATATTAAACGATAAACTAACCACCGACTAACACACCTGTCTTTAAATGTAACCTTTTTCTGTTATATTTAAAAAAAAAAAAACCCCCACCACCATTGCCAGGCTTGAAGAGAGAAACGTAGGTAGAGAAAAAAAAAACTGAAATTCAATATTCTCGAGGGTTGAAATATAAATTCAAACTGACCCCCTCGTGGTAAAACTCTCTGTACGTGATTTTACGGGCCAATGCTTTTTTTACGCGTATATATGTGTATACGTCGAAGTATCAAACTTTCTTTTTAATTTTTTCTGTTTTTTTTTTTTTTTCATTTTTTTTCCTGTATTTTTCCTTTTTATTTTTTTCGTTTTAATTATTTTGCGAATCAAACTTTGTTCATAAAAAAGTAACTAATTTTTACCGATTATAATGTTTTAGAAATTTCTTGTTTTTCAACGAAAAAAATTTTATGATAACGTTCGGGCTTACTCTTATTGGAGAAAGAGAGAAAGAGAGAAAAAGAAAAAGAAGAAAAAAAAAGTCATGCAAGCAGCTCGCGCATATAAAAGCCCAACCAAACCACTTCTCGTACGTTTATTTCGCAGTAGTTATATAATCCTACAAACTCTTCCTGCATCTTTATTGTTTTTTATTACTTTACTTTATTTTTTTTTTCTACTTCTGTTCGAGATTTTACTTGCCTCTCTCTCTCTCTCTCTCTCTCTCTCTCTCTTTCTATTCATTATTTCGTTTATTTCTTCCTTCACTATTATAATTTAGATTCCACGTATTATTCCATAGCTACGTATTTAAGCCTCTCTTTATTTCTCTTAATAATTCTCTCTTTCTTTAAGATTCAACAAGACTTTTATTATCATAAAACTTCGAAACTTAAAATATCCCACCATTCATTTTCCTCTTATTCTTTACAGCGCCCATATATTTTACGAGTTCGTCATATAAGAAAGCTTATTATAGTTACAATTTTATTCGCACAAAAAAAATCTTAGGAGTATATAAAAATAACTTATACTTGAATCACTTGGAAAAAAGAAAAGTATTTAAAAAAAAATAAAATAGTAGATATTCCATTCAAACCTATTCCATTCGAACAAAATATTGCAAACTCGCAATAAAAAAAAATCCGATAAATGCTATGCAATAGTACTTTCTATATATATATATACATTTCAATATCAATAGATCGTATACACAAGAGTGTCTCGGTTTTGAGGAGAAGAAGAAGAAGAAGAGAAATATAGACGTAAGGATCGTACAAAGAACTATCAGAATTCTTTCTTGATCTTTGTATACTTTTCTCTATCTTCTTTTTCTTCTTCTTTTTCTTTTTCTTTTTCTTCTTCTTCTTCTTCGATATCGTTCTGTTTTTGTCACGTGCCGTAGAGGTTGCATCGAGAGACGCACGCTTCACACACGATTGCATTTTCTACTACTGTATCTACAGTAAACACATGGATGCTCTTTTTATCTCTCTCTCTCTCTCTCTCTGTCTCTCTTTTCGTTCGATGAGTGTATATGATAGAAAGAGAAAGAGAGAGAGAAAGAGAAAAGTCTCCTCTCATACCTCCTCGATGTGGAAGCAGCAGCAGCAGCAGCAGCAGCAGCGGTCGCACGTGAGATGAATGTTCGAACGCGTTTAACGTTCCGAGTATACGAGTGGATTTTTATCCGATGCAAGCCACGAAGCATTGTGCCCCCACGAATTTATGACGACATAAATCTTAACCGGGTCACATCCGGCAAAAACTATTCGTTCATTAGCGTCGTCGGGTCATAGATTATCGGAAGGAACGAGAAAGAGAGAGAGAGAGAGAGAAAGGGTGAAGGGTGGTAGTAGTGGTGGTGTACTATCGTTGAAATCGGACAATGCTAATTCCGCTTAGCGATTCTCCATCGAAAGGTCGTTTATAGTTTATATCGAATCGAATTTAGGCCAATCCAAAATGTGTTACTGCACACCGTGTGAACTACAACGACTAACTCTCTCAACCAGCATAGAGAGATAATCGCAAAATTCATCGTTAATTTCTGACAATGTGGATTAATAATTGAGAAATTATTACCTTTAAAACTAATGAAATTTTGTAATAAAGGAGGAAAAATTAATCGATTCAATTCGATGAATTTTCTATTGTATAGGTATACTTCTATATATATTTTTATATATACTTAATATATATAATTTTCTATTATATATATATATATTTCTATATTATAATACGATTTTAGTTTCATTTTAAAATGACAAATTTATCATATATTCGAATATATTTTTCTATTCAAGCAAATCGACATTTATCTTTTTCTTTTTGTTTTCTCGACAAAATGAGGGTAGTTAAATAAAAATATAAAATAGCTATGAGAAATATTATGCATATATATATATTCCAATTATCTCTCGGTACACACAAACATATAAAAACACACATAATGAACTCCCTCGCGAAATTTATTCACGAAAAGAGGGGTAAGGGGGGGGGGGGAAAGAATAAAAGATTAAAAATAAAGAAGAAGAAAAAGAAGTAGGACTACTTTTCATAGACGGCGAATCGCGTTTCAGGCTTATCTTTCGTAAGAAACTTTCCGGAGGTCAGGGTTGAAAGAGAGAGAAAGAGAAACGAACGTTCGTGTTATCTGATAAAACTTGCTACGTTGAAGCGTTTCGCAGACGCATTTCGCCACGCTGTGCAAAACTCTAGAAACGCGTTTGTGGTTTTTAATTGTCGTAGACGGGGTTCAGTAGCAGCAGAGCAATCCTCTTCGTCGTACCAACCGGATGACGGAAAAAGATAAAGTTACCGTCGAGGAAGTTTATTCTCTTTTTTTTTTTTTTTTCATTCTTTTTATTTTTCTTTTTCGCGAATGCCACGATTCTACTTGCTTCTTATTTTATTCCCTTTTATATTTTATCTTCTTCTACTTCTACTTCTACTTCTTCTTCTTCTACTTATTCGTCTTCATTCAATACCAACTACCCTTCCCTCCGTCTTTCTTGTTCTCATAAAAGGAAGTAGCCGACCGGTCAGATAACTTTCGTATCGTACCGCAATGAATATGTATTTCGAGTGTACAGAGAATGACGACGAGAATGAAAACGAGAACAAGAAGAACAAAAATAAGAAGAACGAGAAAAGACTCGTCGATTCACGACACTACTATCCACCATCATTCCGTTTTCTTATCTCTCTTTTTTTTTTTTTAATTTGTTTCTTTTCTTATTCTCATAATTTCAACGTTTCTCTTACCTTTCATTCCATTAGATATCCAATTATGATAATACATATTTACCCAATTCAATTGAACGAATAATTATTGTACATTTACAGAGTGATTGATAATACATTTCTAAACAACAATGTGTATATAATAACGTTATAGAATAAATAATAATATAATATTACATATTTGTCAATTGTTAATAATAGATCAATTTTGTCATGATAAAAAATTTACATAGAAGAAACAAAGACGATACACGAAAAGATATTTCGAGTATGTACGTTTATTTTCTTTTTGATAGAGGATACTATAGAAAGAAGATTTTTTTTCGCGGTAATATTAAAATCGATAATTTGACAGAAACGCGTGGGAAAATCCTTGTTGCCGTTGCTGAGCTTTAGGGCCAGAAAGAGAGAAGAATTCTATGAGTGTTACACACACAAAAAAATTGCAATTTTCTCCCTTCGCTTGCCTCTTCGCATTTGCCCTACGCCTGCGGCTTGTTTCTTCCAACCGTGTTGCATCTTCCAACATTGTTGCATCTTCGAACCAAGAAAGAAAGAAAGAGAAAGAATATACATTTTACTTTTTTTTACTTTTTATCTGACAATTCGTACGATACCGAATCACCTCGTTTCCTTTACTGACCTAATAATATCGAAGTATTTTAGGATACAATTTTTGCCAATTTTCTTTTACTTTTAACCAGAAACAAATTAGCTTTTATTTAATTAATTTCACACAAATATCAATTAATGTATATCTTTCGTTCGTCGGTTTTGGTTCTAATTACATATATTTATTATATAATATTGAATGAGGAATATTTCAATAAAAATTACTATCTCAATATTACCAGGTTGGTTTCCTGGTAAATAATTCAATCAAATATTAGCTATTTATTTAATAGCATTAGATAAATTTGATTCGAGAATTGTTTATTTATTATACACACATTTCGATAAATTCTATACTTTAATAAGACTAATTTTTTTTTAATGCATTCCACATATTTTTAAACAAACATTTTTATATTATAAATATTTCTAGCATTAGATAGAATTGAGAATTGTTTATTTGTTATACACACTTGTCGATCACTTTTATACTTAAATAAGAATAATTTTTTTTTAATGCGTTTCAAATATTTCTAAACAAATAATTATAAACTTATAGTTTATAATTAATATAATTGTTTCTTCATTTTTTGTTTTGTTTTGTTTCAGGTTTTACTACCGAGAGACAAGGATTCGTTGCTTTGGTGTCAAATAATAAAAATGCCATACATAAATCGCAAGCATCACGTTGTCAAGGTAACTCTCTTTACTTATTCTATATACTTGAACACATTTATGACGCCTTACAGGCGTTTCACGGAGAAGTAAAGTACGTTAACCGAATATGAAATAGTTTTGGGTAGAGAAACACAGTGTAGAAACTACAGCATCGAGTTGTCCCTCTCTCTCTCTATATATATATATATTTGTATCTCTCTTCCTCACTTTTGCACACTTCCTGCAGGAAAGTCTCCACGGAAACATAAAACTAGTACCGAGCATGTATTGTTGTTGCGAACCTCTTTGTACATTCGTGACAATCTTTACAAGTCAGAAGAGCGTTCTCGTTTACTCTCTCTCGCCTAGAATAAATAAAACGAACAAAAGTTAACGTTCACGATAAATTTAGCACCTGTGAAAAGATGGAATATTGTTTTTTTTTTCTCTAACATTAGAAAATAGGACAAGCAAAGAAGCTGTGTGTATTTATAAAATGAGAACTATGTAACTATGTACCCTTAACGATTTGAATTTACATAAAACATTAGATTTATTTATATCTGGCTTATTAATTAATTCACCTGTGTTACATTATAATTTGTTACCTGATTAAAATCGTAATTTCTTTCTTCTTTTTTTTTTTTTTTCGTCCAATGAAATTCGACACAATTTGTCAGAAAAAAGAAGATTTAAATAACTGATAATAATGATAAATATTTCAAAGTATAAAAAAGCAAAGACGTATTATTACTTTATAAATAAATAATAATGTATTAGTTAAAAATGTATATGTACATATACATAGAGAGAAAGATAGACTTATAATTGGCACATTTGATATTCGTAAAAAACCTGACGATTATAATCGCGTAAATTAATTGAATAGCAGTTAATAATTTGGGTTTATCGCGTCAGATCCGTTCGTGGTTAGTGTCCGAAAGAACGTTTTTAAAGCAACCGACGGGAAAGCCGAATGATAGTAGTAATAAACGTGGCAATAATAAGAGGAATGATCGTAAAGCTCATAATACGCTTACCGAGCGCTTTATAACGTCCCCTCACGGTGATCTCTCTTGCGTTACCGAAATCATTAATTTCTAACTATATCCAGTCGTCGTTTGACGTTTTCCAAATGAATGGTCAAAATTTACTACCCTACGTCAACAACCTAAACGTCGTATTTCTTTTCACTTCTATTTTCAAATTTTAAACCATCTAATTATATAATTTCTTTTCAATATTTATTATCTATTCTATTATTTATTTATTATTATAATTAATATAATATTTAGTATCAATATTTATTATCTATTTTATTATTATCTATTACTATAATTATTATAATATTTAATATCAATATTTGTTATCTATTTCAAGAAAGAAAAATACAAAACAAAATAATATTCAAACTCAGATAAAATATCGATAAATCTTTTATGTTTTTTTTTTTGTTCCTTTAAACTTTCATTCAAATTAACAAAAAGAGAAAAAAATTAGAGAAAGAGAGACAAAATGAAATATCGATTGATATATCGTTGATAATGATTAATATTAAGCTTTAAGTTAGATTTTTATTTTGATATTTTTCCTCGAACGATTCGCGATATCCTAGAACAGATTCCCATGAGTTTCGAGGGAATAGAGCGTGAGCAGCAATATAGTTGACCTGACGCCAGTCAGCTAGGGGGTGGTGGTAGCACCTGAATCTCGAACTCGATCGAACGTGACCCAACTATGGGATGCGATTGCATTGTGTTCCATTCTCTGACAGAGAAACGAGGAGAGACGATTAGCGTTTCGATTTCGATAAATCTAGTGTTTAAAGTTGAACCTTCAACATAGAAAAATTTTTTTACTCACTTTTTTGTGGTTTACGTAAAAAAAGAAATAAAACAAAATAAAATCTTCAAAGATACGTTTTAAATAATATAAATTATCATTATTCAAAATAATTGAAATTATATTTAATAACCGTTCGAGAAGATTACGATGATAATTTTGTAAATATGTATATATATGTTCTTTTTGTTTTTTTGTTTGTTCATTATAGTACGAACCAGTTATCGAACCTGGCAAGAATACGTATTTGCATCATATGACACTTTACGAGTGTCCGAATAATAATCCTCAGCTTGAAGAAGCTTCGAAAACAGCTGGAAGTGTTTGTTACAAGGACGACAATGCAACCCAGTGTAATACAATTGCTGCTACTTGGAGCTTAGGATCTGAGGTAATTAACTAAACCTAGCAACGTTAAATCGAGATTAATTAAAAAATTCGTTTTTTTACAAAAATAATTATAACTTTGGTCCTATCAGTACGAATTAATTTGCATAATTTTTCTATTATTTTCATTAGCAGGGCTTTAATTTTCCACCGGAGGCTGGTTATGCATTGTATCCTGATAATCGTTCCCGTTACTTCATGCTCGAGACTCAATACATCAATCCTCAACAATTAGTCAACGACAATTTGGAAGTCAGTGACAGTTCGGGATTGAGATTATATTACACCGATCAACTTAGACTTCACGATGCTGGAATTTTGAGCATAGGAATTGATCCTAATTGGAGACACATTATACCACCTGGACAACCCGAAGTAGTATCAGAAGGTCATTGCATAACTGAATGTACGGAACAAACTATACCTAATAGTGGGATAAACATGTTTGCCGTAATCATGCATACACATCAGTTAGGAAGAAAGATAAGATTTAGGCAAATTCGTGCTGGTGAAGAATTACCACCGATTGCATCGGATATCAATTATGATCCTAATTATCAAGAATATCGCAAACTTCAACGACCCGTCAAAGTTTATCCGGTAAGTATAATATCTATATTAATTATTTACTATTTTTTTTTGTATCATATATGCTTAGAATAATATATATTAAATTACATAATATAGATATAATAATATCATATTATATAATAATATATTTATAAAATAATAAATTAAATAAATATAAATATATATTAATTAAATTAAATAAATTTGAAAATTTAAATTTATAAAATATATTTATATTTTATATATATATTACTCTATGCTACTTCATTTGATTCCAATTTTAACATTTCTCTACTGCATTATTCAATTATTATTATTATTAAAGTTCTTTCGATTTTCTCAACCAATAACGATCTTGTAAGTTGAAGCTTTTTACAAAAAAAAAAAAAAATAAAACGATCGATCGTCCAATCGGCCACCTGTAGAAAGTATAGATAAAAGAAAAAAAAAGTTAGGCTTAAGTATAAAAGTTTCGAAAGAATCTTAGTCAACTAGTTGAGAAAAGTGGAAGAAGAGTATTAAAAAAGAAAAAAAAAAGGAAAGGTAGTTATGCGGTTTTGATCGGCTTCGACAGCTGTAAAACGTTCTTTGGTAGTAGTAAGGAAGCTGCTTAGAAACATCGTTTGATCGTTTTACAGGGAGACCACTTAGTTGCGGAATGCACCTACTCGTCCGAGTCTCGTTCAACTATTACGCTTGGAGGTTTGATGACGAGACAAGAAACTTGTCTTATATCCGCACTTTATTATCCTCGGATCGAATTATCGATCTGTTATTCTTTGCCATCTTTACCAACCGTTCTGCAAAGTCTTGGCGTTCAAAAAGTCATTCAGTAAGTTAATTTATTATATTTTAATAAAGTGAAACTAGAAGTTCGTGAACATTTTTAAATTAATATTTGCACCTGATTATAAAGTCATTTTATTGGTTTCAAACAATAATTGCATTATCTGATACAACACAAATTTTTGGTTCACTTTAATATTGTTTTATTATTATACCTGTTTGTTACTCTTATTTCTTAATCATTGCTTTAAATTATTAAATTTCATAATATGAACGGTAAAATTTGAAGAACTTAGTACTCGTAACTCGGTAATTCCTCATGGGTTCCTAGAAAATTTGGTTGAATCGGTGGAATTGGCCGAAACTGCTTGATGATAAATTGGCGCGACATACACACGCACATACTCACATGTACTAGTTTGCGCTATTACGAGAGGTTTGTACGGGTCCTATGTAAACGGACGAGACGATTGCCAGCTTTTACTCTCTCTCTCTCTCTCTCTCTCTCTCTCTCACCCCATCTCTCTTTGATCGGTTTAAATTGGCCATTAGGGAGCAACGCGTCCCTTAAATGCGCGAAGAACGCACAAATACGTTTTAGTTTAAATCGTTGACAGAGTTATATATTCATTCGCGTTATGTAACGTTACGAGCATGCTTACAGGTGATGATAATTTTCCTAATCGTATTAAATCATCTCACGTATGTGTGTGTAAACGATAATTCTATTAACACTTGTATCCAAGTGAAAAGAAACCAAACATTCGAATGATTAATTGACACCACATTTCGTTCATATTTAAATTACAATCTTAAAATACAATTCTAAGTTGAAGTCAACTTTCAAATAAATGACACACAATGTTTCATAAATTTATCGATCGTATGAGTGGAAAAAAACAACAATATAAATCGTATTTAAAAAGTAACGTGATGAAATTGGTGAATTTATTAATTTTCAGAGAAGCATCATTAGTGAAAATCCAGGAACCGAAGAGTTTAGCTGGAATGACCTTGGAAGATCGTTTAGTAAGTTACGACTGGGAGACGAGTTTCCAGAGTTTCCAAGAAGCAACTAGAGTTGGTACGTTCATGCCATTATGTTGGACAAGTAAGGGTGCCCTACCTGGTACAGAATCGTTGGTGTCACATTATCCAAGAATTCTGTATTCCTACGAAGAGACCAATTTAGCTTGTTCCGACATGGGTTTTCCAATGGATGCTGAAAGCGACGAAGCTAACGCGGTAGAACGTGGTCAGTTGGTAAGAAGCAAAGTATCGAGAAGTAGCGAAGGACCAAGTGCAGCAAGTTCACCATCGATTTCGGGTCCATTGTCCTTGCCACTTATACTTGGCACGACCCTTTTGATAGGACTCGCGGCTGGACTTAGGTGAACTATCCTGATCGGTATTCGTGCTATCGTCCCAAATTCGAAGAAGTACCTTCGAGGATCCGCTGTTTGAAAAATAGAAATATAAGCGAAAGAATAATTATATTATAATTATCGATAAATTATTAAGACGAAGAAGTAGAAAAAGAAATAAAAAAATAACAAATGAAAGAACAAACCATTTCTTCTTCTTCTTCTTTTTCTTATTTACTATTATTATTATTATTATTATTATTATTATTATTATTATTATTATTAATATTATTATTATTATTATTAATATTGTCTTTCGCTTTTGGATCCTTCGATTGGAAGTACTTTCTGAAAGACGGGATACGAGTTCTTTGCACCGTTCGATACCGTCTTTGTCAACCCCCTTTTTCTATCTATCTATTTCTATTTCTATTTCTATTCTATCTATTTCTTATTGTGGATCGAACTAGGACCGGATGATCATCACGGATGCGTGAGATCGCGTCCATGCGTCATGGATGGTACCCGCGTGAGTACATACCACGAAAATTGTCTTGACATTTGTCGCTTAAGTTTAAGACAACTGTCAACGATGTTTCTCTCATACGACATTTATCCTTTACGATGAGAAACAAGGGGCGGGGAGGGGGGGGGAAGCTTTTCTACCTTCGAAACAAATCAAATCGTCGATTCTTTTTTTTTATTATTTTCCAAAACACATCCGTGATTTTTGTTATTAATAATAAATACTCAAAATGTTTTCTTCCCCATTACTTTCTCTCCCATTAATCGAAATACCAATCGATATAAAAGATTTTAATATCGCACGAATCTTAATTGACTATCGCATTCTTTTAATCATCCATCGATCCATCGATTGATCGATTGATTGATTTTTAAGCTTGTCGTGCAATATTATACTGCGTGGAATTTGTCTTGAGACAAAAAAAAATAAAATAAAGAATACCTTTCGGTCGTCAAGAAAAGAAAAGGATGTCGGAAAAAATGCGAAATATTTTCGATGAATATTTAATTACCTTTTTTTTTTTGTAAAGAATTATTATTATTATTTACTTTTTGTTTAGTTTTTGATAGATAACGATTGAATAAATTTGTCTTCATCGAAAAATAGATTAATCATATTCTAAAAATAATAACTATAAATAATATTAAATATAAAATAATTTAAATAACAATGTGTAAATGTAAATGATCGATAATACGCGAGATTTATTATTTTTTTTTTTTTTTGTTCAACGTTAAACTCGTCGAGTCACGAAGGATAAGAAGAGATAAGCCGCCAAGATGGAGGGTAAGAAGAAGAAGAAGAAGGATAGGGAATATGTGTGCTTCTAATCGGGGGTTCACTTCTTATTATTATCGTACGATGTAATACGTCAAGGAAATTTCTCGGATAGTTACTTTGCAGCTCGTTATATGAAGATAGTTGCATAAGGCGGCATGCACGAACAACGTACAAATACACTCACCCCCACCCAACCCTCTAACCCATACCCCTTTACCTCTCTTTACCAGAACCAAGAACCAACTTTTAACTTCTTCTTCTTCTTCTTCTTATTCCACTTACCTTATAGTACCTTGCGTAATATCCTGATCGGAGAAAATCATCGTCTCTGTTAGGTGATAACACATATACGTATATATGTAAACGCGTTTACGTAATTTACAATAAAATCGAATAAATAAGCAAAATAATTCGAATAAATGAATTCATACTTAAGAATATAGAGTCAAAGATAATTTTTTTTTAAATAAAAATAAATTAAAATTTTTCTCTCACACTAAAAGCACACACAGATATATACACACACACAGACTGAGAAAATTACACTCAATTTTTGTAATATTATTTCTTTTAAACTCGTGAATAATTTTTCTCTATAGAAAATTGATCCGATGTAAGAAAAATTTTCTTAGAAAAAATTTCCGACATTTTTTACGACAGAAAAAAATAAAAATGGAGAAATATTTATTCGTAATATAAAAATTCGTATATTTTCGATGTTTCTTTTAAGACCGAAAGGTATTTCAAACACGAAACGATCCACTCTTTCTAGTTTTATTTTAAGTGCGTTTTCTTTTTTCTAGTTTCTTCGATAGGAATATTTCGAGATAAGGATTAATTGTTGATTGTTTATTTACTGATTTGGAAATCGAACAAACCCATCTCTTTCTCTCTTTTACTATTACTCTATATACGAGAATAACGCAACTTTTTTTTTAATCAAGCAAATGTAATATCATATTTGTTGATTTACATTTTAAAAAATCTTGCGATTCTCTTGCCATTTTTTTTACGTTTATACTTTAAATTTGTTCGATTTCCGACTCACTTTATTGTATATTTTGTTAATTAGGCTGCGTTGGTAAATAAGTTTTTTTTTAATGAGATCGTATAAACATTGGTTGATTTGCACACGCAAAAAGTACACACACACATACACATATATACACGCGTATATACAAAACACACAAACATAAAACATTAACATTTAGAAGGAGTCACGACGCAGGGCGACGTTTTCTAATTTTTAAGCTCTTTTTCGTGTATCTCGTTATATAGATAAATAAATATATATATTATATATTATTTTTTTGTTAACTCCTCGCGAAAATGTGTTACTTAACCAACGTTTATATACAGAAGAAGACATATATAACTCGAATGAATATATGCAAATATAAGATATATAAATATCTATATAAATGTATGTATGTATATACATATACATATATAGATATGTATATATAAATACATAAATATAAATTAAATAATAATAAAATGAGAAGCGATTATGTATTCGACGAATCTGTGTAACATTCTGTACAGTTTATTAATTATATGTAATATTGTTAAATGCGCTTTACACGCGTGTTCGACGTGTCGGACTAATGTGAATTATTAATTTATTTCTTATTTAATTGTAAAAAAGAAGAAAAATAAAGCGTGAAGAAAAGAAGAAGAATGAGAAAAATAAGGATTAATATCTAGGATTAAAATAATTGTTTATTAACAATTATCGAATAACAACTGTCACCGATATTATAACACTATTAAACAAACACGCGCGTCAACACAATCCACAAATATTCCTCTCGCGAATTAATTTGGTATTTTGAAAAAAAAAAAAAAATACAAAAAAAAGAAACAAAAAAAAAAGAAATAATAAAAAGCTCCTACCTTTTATGAATCTCTTTGACATTCCTTTATTACCCCACCCCCCTGTCCCCCGATCCAATCCTTTATGGCCTTCGATGATCGTTCATTCAAATTTCTAACTCACGCTTCGATTACTTTTTTTTTTTTTTTTTTACTTTTTCTGCCCTGATGCACGCGAGTTCGTGACGTTAATCGATTTATTTTCAGCATATCTTTTGCATCAACAATTTTTTTTCTCTCCGCACTATTTGAGTGCCTCGCGATATATTAAATTAAATTTCGAAGTAATAAAAAAAATGTTGCTTTAAAATGAGATTTACTCGAAAAAGAAAAATATTGACTTTAGTTTCGATTTGATTGTGATTTTAATTTTGATTTTGATTTTGATTTGATTCGATTTAAATTAAAAAAAAAAAAAAAAGTAGACAGGAGTAAAATTATTCTAAGTGATTTTGTTTTCTTTTTTTAATTTTAAATACGAACGCAACGTAATAAATCTACGAGACGGAAAAATTAAATTTCAATACTGTCGAGGAAGAAAATATCATTCACAAGCACGAAAATTAAAGATTTTAATCTACGAAGGTGGTTTAAGGGAAAGAAAAAAAGAAAAAACTTTTACACACGTCGACTCAACACACATAGAATGAATCAAAGTAAACAATCGAGATATAGATTTTAATGACTAAAAAGAAAGAAAGAAAGAAAAATAAAAACAACAACAGCAACGTGAAGAAGAAAAAAAAAACGCGTAATAAATTATATTGATTTCCCTTTTTTTTCCTTGCATCCAACCCTTGCTGCTGCTCATGCACTTGGACAAAAAAAAAATAAAACTTAGGACCCTAATTAATCAAGCTAGATCAATATGATACACGTAGCAAAAAAAAAAAAACGTTTTGCAATTTAATACCACGATTATTCGTAAATGTCATAGGAAAAAATCTATGTACGTAGTAGAGGTAATATTTTTAGGGCAATTATGTGAATGTCCCTTTCTCTCTCTCTCTCTCTCTCTCACTCTCCCTCTATCTATCTTTCATTCTATTTCAATCTCTTTCTTTGCTTTTTTATCTTTCCATTACCATCGAAACTTATCGAAACGTTACTGGAAAAGATAAATACAAACTAATACAATTTTTTTTTACTTTTTTTTTTTTTTTTTATTAATGACGACAAATGTTTATTTCTTATGGCACCAATATTTTGTCCTCTTTTGTTTTTTTTTTTCTTCCTATAAATGGGCACACAAAACAGGTTGAACGATAAAATCGATCAAATATTTTATTCAAAACATATTTTTTCCCCCATCAAATTATCTTCATCTTTACTTAAATGTGTGTGTGTTACGGCACGAAGAAAAAAAAAGTAATCTATAAGGATAAAAAATAAAAATTCGATGAATTTCGTCGAATTTATTATAGTGCTACAAATATTTTAGAAAATGGAAAGAAAAATGACTTGCGTGAAGATGATAATGATGATGATGATGATGATGATGATAATACCTCGGGAACTACGAGGATATAAGTATAAAATTTAAATCTCGGTGATATGATCGTAACAATCAAGAAGAAATTGCGTCGTGTTTAAGATGGAAATAATAAAGATAATTAGGCGAATCATTAGAAATGAAAGAAATATTTACGTATTTATAATCTCGGAATCATCCTTGCATCGTGTGTGTGTATGTTTAGCTCGTTCTTCGTTCACGGTTTTCATTATTTCAACGTGATCACGTTGGAACAACAATTGCAATTGAACGAATATATTAATACCATGTTTTAATTCTATCTGACGAGATATATTTTATATTTTTAATTGTTTTATTTTTTTTTTTTTTTTAATAAGAGAGAAAACTAATTTCATTTTATTTCTCGAAAAAAACAAACTGTAATATAATATTATTTTGCTTTAAATAAGATTTAAAACATTGTTTCATTTGTGTCAGTTGTTCCAACGAGAAATGCGATGAACGAAAAG